TCTCAATGAGGACAGACCGTCTTTATTTCACACCATTCTCGTTTTCTCTTGTTTAGCACTAAAGATGCTTTATAAAAATTGATGTTCTTCACAGCTAGGATGGCTTATAGTATTGCGGGAATTCTCACAGCAGACCTGTAGCGTACTCTGAAAAACAACACCTACATTATGTCATTTTGGGAATTCATGGGTTCACGTGGGCTAGCTAGATGCAAATGGTAGGGAACAGTGTTAAAGCCTCTGATATAATTATACATTACTTTCCAAGGCTGGGAGTCGCACCACAAACTTTATTTCAGAGGAAAAATATTTGTTTTTAATATTAAAATGGCTAAGCTGCTCACTTACAGCGGTAAGCATAAATTTACTTTTCATAGAGTGTACTACTATTTCTATTTCAATGCTAGTTGATATCAATCAGTATGTTGCTTTGTAGTTGTCTTGAAAACAACGTTCCATTTCTTTGAGATATCTATTGAGAGCATATTAATTTGAAAAATTAATCTTCATAAACCCTTTTTCTCTTCTTTGTTTTACACCTAACAGGGACTTCAGGATGAATAAAAAGAAGCATCTATCAGATAACTTTTAACCTAGCCCTGAAGATCAAAACCCACTGACAAGTTATTTATAATGTTAGTTCATTAGGTCTTTTTCAGTTATCTTAACACAATTCTCTGTCTAAACTGATGCAGTCACTTCTGTTTATTTGTCACCAAAACGTATCTTATCAAAGCTAATGTTAAAGAAAACATAAAAGAGCTCACAAGGGCTTTTCCAATACATTTAAACTTAAATAAAAACATAGTCTTTCTGAGTATTGGGAAAGATAATTTAAAGACAAACTGCCCACTTTTCTACTTCCTCCCAGGATGTTGGACAAGAAAAAACACAATTTCCCATTGAGATTAGAACAGGAATCACTGGATGTCTTACTAGAAGTTTCAGCTTTTTGAAGACTTACACCTTACTTTCCATACCATAATGTTTGGATGTCTGAAGATGAGGATCTGGGCCTTTTGAAATTTGGCAGATATCATTAGCAACTGATCAGTTACTTCCCCCCCCCCAGTCATTTTAGTTTAGGAAGCCTAAAAAGCAAGTTCTCTAGCAAAATTCTATAGAAAAGTTGAGACCAGATGAGCTCCTGATGATAAGTAGTGGAGCAGGGAGACATATGCATTTGGCATTATGTAAATGAATTGACTGCATGTTGCTATTTACCACTGCAGGTAGTAGAATGGAAATTAAAGCAGTTCTGGTTGCAGATGAATTGATTAGGATCCTCAGAATTTAGAATTAAAAGTAACAAAGAGAAAGTTAATCCTGTTGGTATGCAATGCCAGGAAAGGTCTATGCTCTTTAATTGCATCAAAAAAACAAAACCAAAAAACCCCAATTTGAAGCTCCATTGCTGGAAAGAAACTGGAGCCACTGTGGAAGAGCAGACAGAGCAGAGTAGTAGCACCAGGTGTCTGAGCAGGAGCCCAGTACCCTGTTGTCAGGGCTTTGTGGCTCATGGGAGTCTTCGTACCTCCCTCTCCTGCCTCCAGCCATGTACTACTGCTGCTGCCTCCCCTCTCCTGCCTGTAACTGCTCACCCCCTGGGTAGGCAGACAGTATTCCTCCTTCGGTGGTCCATTCCAGCATGGTGCAGGATGTGGTTGGAGCATCAGGGTGTGGGGGTGAGTAGAGGACCCACTGCCACATTCAAGCATGGTTGCCAACCCAATATTTTTTTTTTTTTACTGATAAACTCCACATTTTTTGATAGCCAAACATTTTTACTATGGTTGGTGTTGAACCCCAAAGGGTTATATTTACATTATGTAAAACATGTAGAAAAGTTTCGTTGTCAGAAAAAGTTTGCTGATTGTCAGTAAAAACATTGTCTTGGGTTGGCAATCTTATAGATAACCACCCCTGACAAATGAAAGATGTGGGTTTGAACCCTTCAGGCAGAGGTTGGAATTAAATACAGGTGTTCTGTTTCCTGAGTTTAACAGTAAGCCCTGCCTAGTTCTTTGAAAGAAAGGAGACAGGCACTTTTGCAACCAGGAGAGAACCCAGGGCTGCAGATCCAAATGGATGGAGGATTTGGAAGTTACTATTTTCTTAAATTGTGGCACTACTTGAAGTTCCTCAGAGGTTTGCAGCATTAGAGTATCTCTCAAAGAGAAAGGGCAGAGAATGGACAAAATGTTCACAGGTGAATGATGGGGGGTTTTTTGATGCAGCTGCACACTATTTTATACTTGTTGACTCCAAATGTTTGATATTTGGGCATGAGTGTACCCGTATGACCAACTTATTAAAAAATATTTGTTATTTTAGGTGCCCAAACTAAGAAACTTTAAAAGCGGCTAATTTTCAGAAAGTTTCTTAGTTTGGCCCCATTTTGAGCATCTGAAAGAAAAAGAAAAACACACTTCAAAATCAATGGCCATAAAATGAATGCCATGTATTTCATTTAGTCAGCATGAGATATACTTAAATAGAAACTGAAATGTAATTTTCTTTCGCTTTCAGAACATCAGACCTTATCCCGTTAGGAGAGTAAACAGCATGATGATTATTCAAAGACAAATCATAGAGATGATCAAAGACAATATTTTTTACCTGAGTGATCATAGGAAATCCCATGATGAAAAAGGAAATGCAACAACCAAGAGTGAAGAGTGGTTTGTGAGTACGTAAGTATTTGGGAAACTCATCTGAAACGGAGGTCACTATGGTCTCAATAGTAGCAAACTGGGAACATCAGAGAAAACAAAATGTTAGCCACATTAATTCAATGTATATGTAAAAGAGAGAGACAGATCATTTGAAAAATTAATGGCATTGGATTATACTCAACATCTGTCATCTTAAATGTTAACTCTGAAACTTCAAAGCACCCAGGTGAATTATGTTTTGGTGTTCTCATTCTCTTTGGAAAGAGACTCAATGACTACATGAGAAACAATATATGGTATGGTAATCTTGAAGACAGAGGAACAGGTAAGCCAACAGGAAAAAGGTAGATAAAAAGTTTACCATAGTGTCCAATCCAAGGGTCAGAAGCATCAAAAAGAATATTATAGCCCAAAATGGAGAGAGAGGAAGCCTTGTTAAGGCTTCAGGGTAAACCACAAAAGCAATACCTGGACCTAGAAATAAGGAGAAAAAGGAAATGGTTGTGATATCTTAATCTTATTGTTATAGAGGAAATTTGCAGGCTATTGCAAAGAGCTAAACGTCTGAAGATACTGAAGTATTACTTTATTCCAGAATGCAATTAAAGGGACAAATTCTTTATCTCTTGCACGGAGTAAGGCCTCATGCCACTGCAAGGCAACGATGACAGAATTTGGCTCTGAATGGTTCTTGCATTCATGGTTTTCAGCACACACACACGCTCATGATTTCCAAGCTGCAGGATAGATGCTTGACCTGGACACTAAAGCACTGACCCAAATCAGACAAATGTAGCAAGCTGTAATTTTTTTCTTGCTTTGGAGTCAATTTCCCACTACATCCCCAGAGAACTAGAGGCCTAACCTTAGATTATCCACACATTAATTCCACATGGATCAATGACCAAAAAGGGGCTTCTTTTTAAATCAGCAACATGTAATACAACTGTCCCTAGATAGAAGGTTTGTGCATATATCACAGAGCATATTCTGCTTTCAGATGCATGGCACACAGGAATGTATATCTAAAAGGAAAATCTTAAAACAGAAAGGAAAAAAAGTAATACACAGCAGCATGAAGAAGGACCAGAGTTTCAACCTCAGCTATGAAATTCCACAGTTTTGGAAGGACTTATCCTTTTTTCATTGTTATTTTGGATAACCTGGACTATAATTTCTGTTAGGCAAAAAATAAAGTATGATCAGAACTAGCTAATAAGGGCTGGGGAAAGCACTAAGAAAAACAAAAGTTGCAGGAACTTTGTGATTGTAATTCATCAGTCAGCACTCCTTTACATTCCTGCCCTAATTGTCCACAGTGAATCCTAGCCTATTTGTAATGTTATGAAAGGTGAAGCCTTTCCAGCAAGAAAGAAATCTGAGATCCTCATCATTTAATATTCTGGAGTACAGGGTGTTAGCCCCACTCTCACAGTCAAATCCCAATTGGGAGCATAACTGCCCCATATTGTCCTAGTTACTCTAAGGGAGCTGGTTCCCCATCGTTTTCTCAGTAAAGTTGTAGAGAATTGTTGGTCCATTTCAGAACTAATCTGTAGTCTGTAAAGTTTTGGAGGATCGTTCCAAAGACAACAAGTATAATGAGTTTTCTTTTTTTTCTATCATTAAAAAGGATTTTATTGTAAACAATTTAATACAAGCTGAATTCTTTAAACTTGCTTGTAAATAGACATTTTTTTTCTGTATGGGAAAACATACGTGAAGACATATTCATAAACACATTCTTTCATCTCTTATTTAAAGATTTGTTCTGGACAATTAGTAATAGGCCGCCTGTTTGCCCTAGTTTACTGCATTTGGAAATTAAAACAAAAGTTCAAAATAATGAATTCCCATTAATCACACTCTTTAGGAAAAGTTTAATTCCAGACTATGAAATTGCAGGTGTCTTTTGATATAGACTCCTTTGCTCTCCAAAGCAATGGTCCCCAAACTCTGACTCATGTGTAACCTGCTGCCTGTGAGACCCTGTTTGCTTGCAGTCACAGGACATTAACAAGTAAAAGTAGAGATTGAGAGGGACCCCAAATTGTAATGTTGCCTACAGGAACATGACTTGCTGGGTATTGTTGCCCCTAGGTCAGCAATAGTGAGAATCACTGATTTTGGACCTCAGAACAGTTGGCAGGGTAGGTGATCAGTATCCAAGCATAAATCACCAATCACAAGAGAACTAACCACAGGCATATTTTCTCCATCAGTCAGAAAAAAAAAGCACGTACAAACCAATGGGTGAATGTGCTTGGAAAAAAACCCCAACAATTTAACATTTTCAGATATGAGGAATATACAGAGACATTCATAAGGAAGGAAAGCTGGAAAGAATTCTATTGGGACTTCACACACAATTTTGCAGTGGAAATGGTAAAAGGTCCTGAACTTGGATTTTAAATGGCTATTATGGAGAGAGAGTTAAAAATGTCAAAGAGAAAAATATTCCCACATCAGAAAGAGCAGTTTCATGGAAATTGAACTTTCCACGGGAAAAATGTCAATTTTGGCAGGATTTTAATCAATGTAACAATTCTAAAGGAAAATAATATTTAGAAAATACTGACAAAGACCTGTTTTCTCAGGGTGGGGAGGGGGGAAGGGTTGCTTCAAATTAATCAATGACCTTTTTGCAATCCATTTCAACAGATTCCAAATGAATCTCTAAAGGCATAAAGGTTACAGGAATCTTCTAAGTTTTCTTCAGGAAAATAGTTAAAATATTAGCAGCATGGGCTCAGGAACATTTGCCGTAACTCCTGGGTTTTGTAGGAGCAAATGGCTCCCTCTGGCTGCTCTTTCATCAGTTCTGTGGAATGGAATGAGGAGTTCCATAGCGGTTCCTTCCAGTGCCAATTTTGCAGTTTTTTGAAGCAACAAAGGATACTTTTGAAATTGTTTCAGCTTAAAAAATTACAGCTGTAAGAAATGTTTTAAGAAGAAACTTTGCATCACTTTGTAAAGATATTTTGTGGACCAGATATTTTTTCCCCCCTGTCCACAGGATGGAAGACAATGAACAGATTTACCTTTGAGGCCCAAGATTTCAATGCCATTGGTTTCTGTTGGAAAAGCTTACATTTTAGATAGTAAGATGGATATATAGTCCATGGGAGCTTATGTCAGCTAAGTTCTTTCATTGTAGCTGTAGACTGTACTTCATTTGCTCTTCAGTACAAACCATCTAAGCTGCTTACCAACATCAATAATTGCTTAGATGAACACTGTACAACTGAAAGTCTAGTATACATGCTGCATGGAGGATGAGTGAAGAATTTGTTCTTGTAAGTTCTTCAGGAACAAGATGTTCTCCTGTGTTCCTTTATGGCATGTAAGAAACCTAGCATTAGTTTATGCTGCCCACAGACATCGCTGTGTTTCTTACAACATTGCCTTTGAGAAACACTTGTCATTTGTAACCTTCAAACCTTTCAAGTACAAAATGGGTTTTCCTAACATGCTGTGCCACTTGGTTGATTGGGTGTTCACTGCTCTGTCAGGTGCAGAAGAGATCTCCCTCAGAATATCACTCATATGAGCATAACCCATGACAAATCCAGTTGTTTTCAATGCTATTTTGCCAGGAAACAAAACAATTGCTTTCAGCTGTCATTATACAAGGACTGTCAGAAACAGAAGTACAGCATGGGAAACATGTAGGACAGTGAATGATAATAATACTGTTATTACTGTACTGTCACAGACAGACCTTAGCACAGCTAAGTTCTTAGTACAGCTTCCAGGCCAGGAAGATTAAATTACTGCTGAAGGTTAATGAGATATATTTTTAACATCTCCCATGGGTAGATGCAAGAAGTTGTGTACACGCACATGGATTTTTCATTTGGCTCATGCAGTAGAGTTTCTACACAGAAATTGCAAGTATCCAAGTTGGGGTCTGAGTTATAACAACAGGGAAGATACAATGACTCCAACTGGAAGATGGGATCTTTAAATACTGTTTTATCTTCTCCTTCCAGCAGATGAGACATGTAAAACTGAATTACTATTAATTGATGACATGTATGCTGCATCATCCAGTTCTTGCTGGGAAGAGGTAGAATTTACAAGCTGAGGCAGAACTCTATTTCAGTTTATGCACCCAAATTAAAGTTGTCAAGGCCCATAACTGCTCTTTTTGGCACTCAGACACAGCCTGTGATCCTGCTCCATGCTCTGTTTGGATGAATATGTATCCACATAGCTACTGAGCTCAGGCAGTTGGCTACACCCTGGGCAAGCAGGTACGCAGCTCTGTACACACACACCAAATGGCATATGTCCTAAATTTCTGGCCTGGCAAAAAACAGGAGGTGGGAGGACTTCCCATATTGTAGCCCAATAGCCTAGTGCCTATGCTCCAAGAATGAGGAGACCTCAGCTCTAGACCTGCCTTACCCAGGAAGGTTTTGAAAATGTGCATCTCTGAATTCCCCAGCACAGTGCTCTAATTGTAGGCCACTGGTCAGGCATCATCAAAGCTCCTCTCCAGGCCTCTTCTTGAAGGTAAGCCACTGCACAGTACCTTTAATATTCATTGGAGAAAAGGGATGGAGAACAGTGGGGAAGTTTCTGCCCCATTGGAGCAGGGTAGAAGCCAGGGCTTCTCCTTTCCAGAACAGCAGCCATCTCACTAAGCCACACACTCTTCAGCTTATTATCTTCCTTGAAGCTCTTTCTTTTGGCTGCCCAGGGAGCCAACTTCAAGAGGAAGGCTGGGAAGGAGATTAAATAATGGCTAGCCTGCCATCTGGTGCTAGATAAAGGGGGGCTGAAACCTAGATCTTCCACTCCCTAAGCCATAAACACTAAGTTCTGGGCTAAAATATGAGAGGGGCCTCCTCCTCTTCTTTTGTCATCTAAAATTTGCTAGTTATGGCATTTCACTGGAAATACGGTCTCCAATAATGCTGGGTTTTTGATTGTAGCGGTGTTGGTCTAAGGACATAGGCAGGGAAGGTTCTTTGAGTAGACATGATATCTTTTATTAGACCAACTGAGTAGTTGGAAAAAAGTCCTTAGCAAGTTTTCAGGTACAGTGACCCTTCTTCAGGCATAGGAAGTCTCTGCTAGTCTGAGACTCCAAGGAATGAGAGAAGCTAAAAGTGTAGCAGGATGTCAGTGAGAATGTAAATGGATAGAAATTAGAAAAACAAAAGGTAAAGCTGGGAAGGGAGGGTGGAAAAAAGCCAAAGGTGAGCTTTTACATTATTAACTCCCAACCCACACAATTCACTGAATGGAAATTAATTCTCACTAACACTGACTCAGTACAAAAAAGAAGATGCTCTAACTACAAAGACTACCACACTCAAGGGAGAACTTGATTTCTGTTTTCTGTCATCAATTCACTCATGCGGTCTTTGAACTGAGATGCTTATCAGGTACATTCAAGCCACATTCAGCATTTTGTGCTACTGAATTTATCTACACAATAAACCTGTCTGCAAAATAATTTAATG